TGCCAATATGCGGAGGAGACGTCGGCAGTCGAGAAATACTTGGCCCGCGCGAGACGGTCCAGTATATCTTCGATCCTCGGGAGTGGATGGACATCGGAGCTTATGACCTCGTTCACCTTCCTATAGTCGATACAAAACCTTTTGGTCTTGTCTCGCTTGGTCACTAGGGTGACCGGACTAGAGAAAGGGGAGTAGGACGGCTCAATGATGTCATTATCCAACATCTGTCGGATCTGACTGCGTATTTCCCGTTGGTCGCATATCGGTACCCTATATGGGCGGATGGTGACGACTTTGTCGGAGTTGGTGGCGATTCTTACTGGGGGAACCTTTAGGCATGGGACCGCGAATTTGTTCCGGGAGAACACGTGTTGGTATTGGCGCAATAGCGCCGGGAATTGAGGTGGATACGGTGGCTGCGGTTGATTGTCTATGGGGATCCCTGGGAGGTGTTCTGGTGATAATGGGTGGTGTGTGTGGTACATGGAATGGTGTGTGGAATGGGGATGTTTGGGTGTATGGTGAAGGTGATCCGTTTGGACCTTGGTGGGGTGTGAGAGGTTGGCATTGGGTGGTTGTTCTGGTACCTTGACCCTATAATAAGAGCAGTTGGCTCTAAAAAAGTTCTTTGATTGGACATGGTGCGGTGGTTGGGTGAGTCCCTGGGTTGTGGACGTGTTGTCCGAAAAATGCGCATATTGGGTATTGTTGGCGGAAGGCGGAAAAATAGTGTGGGCCTTGCATAGGTCCGCCTGGCATTCCCAATATGTGCACCTTTCGGGCAACACAGCAAAGTGGTAGGTCAGGGGCGACAAAGGTGCATCGAGTTGGTACATAGTGCCATGTGCAAAATCGATTTTTAATTTGAATTTACGGAGGGTATTAATACCAAGTATTCCAAATGGTAGAGGGGCGTCCACCACGTGGAATACTTCGTTTTGGGTTATGGCATGAATGGATAGGGGGAAGGTAATCTGGCCTATTGTTGGCACGTGGCCATCTATTGTCTGTAAATTTATTATTTTTTTAGTTATTAAATTTAGGTCAGGGAAATTATTCTTTAAATTTTTATATATGGCACATGACACTAGGTTAACGGACGCACCCGTGTCTATCAGGAATGGTAGGGACAGTCCATGGGAGATTGGCAGACTAATTGTCAGGTTGACGAAAGGCCTGGTCAGTAGGCCTACCTGTTGGCTGCTGGTCTGGGGCTCCCTTGGTTATCCCAGTGGCTTGTGCGCGTGACGCTTGGTGATGGGGCTGGGCTCGCGGCCGTTGTTCCGCTAGTTGCGCGGAGCGCGCTGCTCGTGCGTCTCCGGAGGCACGGGGCAACTGCGGGGCTTGTCTGAGACGACACTCAGAGTGCCAGTGTAGTCCACCACAAAAACGGCAGTCTGTTGGCGGGGTCGACCTGGTTGGCACTGTTCTTGGACTAGGTCGCACCGGTGCGTAGGGGCCCAGTAGGGGTGGTGCGTGCTCGTCTGGGTGCCTTGGAGATGGTGCGCCGCTGCCGCGGATCCGCTGCACCAGCCGGAACCATGCACCTAGGTTCTCTGGCGGCACAATGCGGACGAGGCGCTGGTCGGAGGGTGGCAGCCCCTCGGTGAGCGTCTCCAAGATGACCTCTTGTGGGAGGCCCAGTTGTAGACCCAGCGCGGTCTTATTCCGATAGTATTCTTCCAGGTTGGGCTGTCCGGCCAGCTTCATGGAGAAGTATTGGGCATACGTGGCCTCATTGGTCTCCGGATAGAGATCCAGGAAGGTCTGTCTCACCTGGATGTAATGTTGGGTCTCCATCCGAAGCCTCCTGAAGTGTTCTAGCGGTTTGTTGTTCAGGTAACGGGGTAGGCGGAGCACTTTTTCCGTGTTGGTGAGACCATCCCAGTCTGTTTTCTGGTCATATGTTCGAAAGAACTGTGCGGCTGGGTAGGTCCCGTCGAAGCTCTGGACTTCTATCTCCGTCCGATGGGTCACGCGGTCGCTGGTGGTCTGAAGGGCAGATAAACACGCAGTGAGGCGTGCCAAGACGGCCGGCAACTCTGCTGACGGCGGGGGTGATTCTATTTTGGGCGTACTTACGGCGGGGTTGTTTCCTCCCTCTGCGGCGTATTCCTCCGCGTCTTGCGTTTCGTTTCTCTCGTCCATCCTGTCGACTCTCTGTGGTAAATGGGAAAAGGATCCTGAGAATCTTATCGACTCTCTATAATATATAAAAAATGCTTGTCGACTTCACTGTGATAAAGTGCTTTGTCCTGAGAATCCTCGGGCGTGGATGGGGTTTTGAATGTTTGGGCAGTCGTTGTCAATGGCGGTGGATGAAGGAATCGGCACACTATATCGATTAATGAATCACAAAACACTTCGGAATATTAATCATTGGCGGCTCGGGAGAGGAGATGGAAGGATTTTCACGATTAAATTGGATTGAGATGACTCACATCTTGGACCTCGAGGCACTACTTTTAGAAGATGCACACACACGTCTTGACCCACACGTTACCGACCGAAAAACTGTCGTTGCCCCGCCCCCTGGCTTGGGTCATGTGGGACCCTGCTTGACCTTTGATTGGCCCCTGTCTCTGTCGGCCATGATGGTAAATTTGGTCGGGAAGACGCTTGGCCTAACATCCGAAAGTCTCAGGACATTCAACTCTGGAATATGAGGGCCTCTTTGTTCTAAGTGACCTAGATACACGACTTGGATCTGTCGTTCTTTTCTCTTCTACTTCTTCCATCTCCCACGTCCTTTGACTGCCATCTTTATTATAATCCATACAGAATACATTATATCCAACATGGTACATAATTATTTATTAGACAATATTCTTTATAATATTACATATATAAACAGAAAAAAGGATATCCTGACCTCTCACATGAGCTTTTTAAATCGTAGAGCGCCATCTAGTGAAACAAAAATCAACTAAACGTTCATTTAACTAGTTCCGTGATATTTGGCCAACCCAATATTTTTATAAAGAAAATCCAACTACGAACGTGTTTCGGGCTTTTGGTCCTCGTCAGCCTGGTGCAGGCTGTACTTCAACAATCAAAAATTGATTTATCAAGAAATTAGGTTGGCCAGATAATAAATAGGTTTCCCACCTTTCGGCGACACTCTGCCACCTTCCTCAGGAGAAATGTGTTCTAGTTGTTAACTCTTTATTTACACAATTCCCTAAATAGTTTTAGAGAAAAACGTCGGGAAAATAAAATAAATTTTAAAACGCTTGTGTGTGTGATGCAAATTCTTATATTAGAAAACAATAAAAATGGCGTACTGTAAGTTTTTACTTTTCGTAGATTTTCAATTTGCATATATAAAATAGAGTGAGATTATATTTGCAGCTATAAAATATAAAAAAGAATATATTGTGATAAAAAATATATATATAAACCCTAGATTTGATCTTACAATTAAATTTCTAGGAAATAATTAGAACGCTCAAATGTGTTTATTCCTACACAAACACAAATATGTAAATGGGAATTAATCATTGATGCACGTATAATATGCAGATTTAATTAGTTGATTCATCTTTATTCAAAATAAATATATTTCTAAAAGCCTTAACGCATGTTTTGATTTTCATTTATTCTAACATGGACAAAAAAATCTGTGTTGAAATGTTGATTAAATAAATGAACATTTCCAACCGAAGTGTTCCATTTCTCATTAAGCAATACAAATGTCGTCCGTAGGAAATCTCTTCAAGATAAATCCCTTTAATTCTATCATCGTTGTGAATTATCTCGTAGGATACGGTAACTTTGTAGTTAAGCAGCAAAATTCTCTACCAAAATCTACAATTATTTTATAATATTGTGGAGTATATAGAGTATAATACAGTAGACTCTCCTATAACGCGATTAATGTGTTTCGTGTTGTATTAAATCGCGTTATAGGAATTCGCGTTGTACGAAATAAAACTTGTATAACGCGAATGTTGTTAGGGTAAATTGTTTTATTTTATAACGATTTATACGAAAATTCGCGTTGTATAAATAAATTTGTCGCAATTTTTTATCGCGTTGTATGAAATCGCGTTGTAAAATCTCGCGTTATAGGAGAGTCTACTGTACTCAAAGTATCGGAGAACAATAGCTTTAATATATCTCCGTAGAATATACAATTATTTGATTATACATATATTGGTTGAATTGTTTATATCAGATTTAATTCTATTTGAATTCAGAGTAAATGCAGACGCTTTTAAAAGCAAGCGGGCTGATAAATTTGGCGGGAAAATACTGAAACCTCCGCCTGCCTCAGGTGTCCCCGTTCATTACACAAAGCAATCATGCTGCCAATATGTCCATCCTTTTCCAATGGCAATATGCATTTAGATACCAGAAGGTAACATGAGAGTCTTATTTTAAAAAGTATATAGGGGCGAAAAATATATTGAAACTGTAATATATAATATGTACGAGTGTCATATGGTTTTGACCAAGGATTTGGTTGTTGATGTGTGATGTAATCAATATATAGCGTGAGATATTCATGTTTTTAGTTCTTATGATAATTCTGTAATAATATTATACAAATATATAACAGTAGCATACAATCTCTTTTAATAGAAACTATACTACCTAAGATTATTGAATATATTAGGTAGAAGAGTACATAACAGAAACCATAAGATCAAGGGAGATATCCAAATACTACATCTGTTAGCCAACTGAAGAGACAAACCAAAACAACGCCTCACCACCATTTTGGAATTATGGCCATGGATTGATCATCTTGAAGGAACCTGATTGAAGAGGTACCCTAGACTTAGAATTATGATTCACCTGAATAACAACAAAAATGTATTTACATACAATATAATGCGGCTTATGATTGTAGAACATTTGAAAATATCCCGCATGTGTTTCTTTTGAACGAAAAATCGAAATTTATTTTTAAGGAGAAATAACGATTATTTCTAACCATAGGAATGAAGTATGAAAGGATGAATTGTGAAAAGTAATGATAAACGGAAAAATAAAAGTGTTCAGGGATGGGAATCGAACCCACAGTGTTCCGCTTACCGGGCAGATGTCATGTCCACTAGGCTACGTTAAACGGCTTTTCGTTCAAAAGAAACACATGCGGGATATTTTCAAATGTCGTTATACAAAAATGTATTTACAAAATTAAGCTTTCTAACCACGAATCTTTCCAAGGCTCAGCATTAACCAACATATGGAAGAATATTAAGTTATTCTACCATTTTATTTTGAGTCATAAGGCGATCCATCATATATGTTTATATAAAAGAGCGTACCTGGATCTGTAAAGAAAAAAAAACAAAGAGGGAGCAATCTCTCGAAATATTTTGAGAAACAAAATTGTTTTTTTTTTCCTTTACAGATTCAGGTACGCCCTTTTATATAAACTTACTATTTTAAGTCATATTTCTCATCTAAAATATAAACCATCAAATTATACTTTTATCCTATTTCCATATTGTCATTTTGAATGAATATATATGCAAATTTACATATAATCCGTGTGCATAAAACAGATATCTCATTCCTCAATCATTAATTCATTGATCTCCAGTATAATAATATAATTAAAAAAAAAAACTTTCTCCGCTAATTCTTTAACGCTCAACGCATACAAATGGCGCCTTCTTTAATTTGAAAAAGATTAATTTGAACAGAGTAGTGCCACAACAATATAAACACAAACTCTCAAAATTCCATTACAATCCAAACACAAAGGGTATTCTTCCAACTTGGAAAATTTCCTTCGACGGGGGAATAAAAGAGCAAACAATAGCCCGTGCTAAGCCCTGCTGTTATCAAAACAAACAGATCCGAGGCTGGTGGAAAAAAAATCATTGGTATCATTAAAATGGCGAGAACGTCTTCGGTGCTTTTCTGCCGAGATGTTGTTCCCTTATTTGCATATAGGCATTATTATTCTAATGCGGCTAACACCGGACGGTCGCCTACACGTGTTCCAGGTATTCTCTAATTTACATATTGGCTTCTCGCTCTTTATCAGCAAGTTTTCTGATTTCTTGTGCCGATTTGTTTTGAGTTTTCACACTACGAAAGTTGCTCGGAATCTTGCTTAATTTAAGAGAGTGAGAGAGAATAAAAAGAAAATCATTGTTAATTTTTATTGCGAGTTTTTATTTTATTACACTATGTATATCTTTGATGCCATATATAAAACAAAATATTGTTTGTTATTTATTATGTATCTAGTTTAAAATAATTATGACGCAACGCTAGCCATTTTTGCATACTGATCTTTTAATTAAAAACAAAGTATTTATACAGTAAATGATGATGATAAATAATCTCAATGAATATTAATACATAACATTATTGTTTTTACGTTACGTTCTGAATTTGTAAGGACAAATATGAACAAATATACAAAATTTAACAAATATGAACAGTATGCAAATATAGTGAAGGTTTTTTTTATGGTTCGCTGCAATATTCCCAAATTACAAAAACGCCTACGTCGAAAGACAACAAACTATAAAATGATTAAATATTATGGATAATTATGGACATATAAGAATAACCCTCCCTGCAGTTTCGCCAGTTTAATCTACTAAACTGACACTATGTAATTGGAGTCGCCGCCCTCAAATCATATTCATCTGAAGGAAATGGTTGAGAAGAATATAAAATAGAATGGGGGAAAAATTTAAAAAATAAAAATTGCATATCCTGACCCATCACATGAGCATTTTAGATGACAGAGCGCCATCTAGTGAAATAAAATTCAACTAAAAGTCGATTCAGGTTTATTCCATATAATTTCAACCTGCACCGCGCTGACATGGTTCAACAATCAGAAACGCGTACGTAATTTGCTTTTTATTTTTATCTATCAACTAGCAGATGTACCCGGCTTCGCCCGGAGTTTTACCCGAGTAAATGTTTGTCTAACGAACATTTGTTAAAACAATTCTCTATAAACTTATTTAAAAAAAGATATATTTTGATAATTTGAAACTCGTAAATTTGAATCTCTCGATAAAGTGAACATTTTTTCCCGGTCCCTGTGTGCCGTGTCATCCTGAATTTTGTCTTACCTAATTTTCTACATTACAAAATCATCGTTTTATCTAGGGAACATTTTTCCCGGTCCCTTGAAAAATACTCGATAAGTTGAATAAAATCAATATTAATTGGTTCCCCCGGTAATTGGAAGTTGAAGGATTAGTATCTTCGCCTTGGAATTGTATCATTATTCTTGTCTCAAATAAATTGCCGTGTCATCCTGAGATAATCTTACTTTTGATAAATAATCTTTAAGATAATAAACTTAGTGATAATAAAATTTATAGATAAAAAACTTGTTATCATCGTCGCAATGGTGGCGCTGCTTGCGAGTTAAATCTACAAATCTGCAAATAACTCTAAAGGTATTCAAGATATTCAAGAAATTATTTTTCAAAACCCTTCCCGGGGATATACCTAATAATATCCCAAAATTTCACGGCGATTGGATGTATGGTTTTTGAATCTATAGAGTACAGACAGACATTCAATTTTATATATAGAGAGATAAAATGGGTTGGCCAAATATTATAGAATAAACATTTAAAAAAAACAACGTTTAGTTGATTTTTATTCCCCTAGCTGGCACTCTCTAAAATCTAAAATTTTCAGGTGAGCGGTCAAGGATATGTTGGGTTTTTTTTTTATATAAAAAGAGAATATTCAGTGTCTATGAATAGATCTTTGTGTTAGAAATATATGCAAATATTTCCGATGGAGCACCAGATCTTTTAATCTGTGATATTTATATAGCGCTTTTAGAATTGAACTCCAATATTTGCGCTTGAGATAATTTGAAATATATCTCCTCAAATATTTCCATCTCAAAATACAGAACGAGTTCTATTTTACCAATTATTCTCTATAGAGGTTTGTAGTCAGATAAACCACTACCGATAACTGAATTATTCTTCCATTTTATCGCATCTTCCTACCGATTAAGATATTATAAGCTCCTTGCTTGTTTATGGAAGTTCGTATTATGCTCATTTAAAGCTCGATATTTTTAAACTAATGTTGTTTTTTATCGTAAAAAAAAAAAAGATAGAGGCTGCCTGGCAGGAATTCATATTTCTATTAAAAAATAGACACTTCGGCCAGTTAAGAGTTTTTTATTTTCTCAAGGTTTTGACAAAAATATTTTGTCTTCATCAGGAGAAGTAAATAAAAAAAATAAAGCATCACGTGAGAACGCCCTTGTAACCTCAGAACAATTTTTAACGCCTTGCCAAATACTTTATTTTTATTTACTTCTCCTGACGAAGACAAAAGATTTTTGTCGAAACCTTGAGAAAATAAAAAAACTCTGGCCGAAGTATCTATTTTTCATAGAAATAATATTTTTTAAAAAATATATTGTAACATGTATTTATTTATGTGAAATATTTAATTATTCTTTGATTTTTCTTCATAATTAGGCAGTCGGCAAAACTGTCCTTTCTTTCTTTCTCTAATTTTACATAAGTTTTGTTTACATATTATGGTTAACCTTGTTGTAGTTTAATTAAATACTAAAACACAGAAGAATACGTGCTGGTTGAACGTTATCTCTAGACTTCAAATTGAATTTAATAAATTTTCGTGAACTATTGTGGTATATATAGAAGACTGCCTACATCTATGGCGTAGTATTTGTCCATATTGTTTCGTATGTCTCCGATTTAATTTTTGTGTGTGTATGTATACAAGAATGCTGCCCCTGTATATTTAAGAAAATAAAGTTTTGAATGTGTGATGCATTATTTTTTATACTCTTGAATTCAATTTGTTGGTGTTTCATAAAGAAAAATATGCTTAATGAAAAAAAATAATAAAAAATAAAAGACAAAGTATTGTGACTATTCCTGATTTATAAATAGGAAACGTTACATATATAATACATATTTGCATATATAATACATAATACATTATTATGTAATACTTTTTTTTTTCTTTTTCAAACCTTTTAAAACATATTTCTTTTTGGATTATTGTATAAATTTAGTTTTTTTTTTCTTGTACGAAGACTTAAATAATAGTTTGCGAATCTTGCGTATGGTTCCAAATAAGGTCAATAGACTAAATCTCTCTCTAAATGGAAGTTTGCAGAAGATGTACTCCGAGGATCATCGGAAGATTTTTAAAAATACAACAGTTCCTACCACGATCAAAAATATCTTGTGATTTTCAATCAATCGATGTCAGTTTGTTTCTTGTCCAATAATTACCTTTTTGTTACGTGGAAGAGCCTTGCTCGATACAGTCTTTTATATTTGCATATATTTCTACAGTTCCAGAAGTTGATGTCAATTGTTTCTCTAAATACATTTATCATGAAATTTTCTCTAAATTATTCGCTACATAAGAATTTCACCATCCCAATACAACAGTAGAGCAAGCTGGTGAATTAAACTGACGTCAGCGCTAGGACAGTTCATCACTGATGAGCCAGACCCTCCCCCCAAGATATTTCCATAGTAGTAGGAACCGTAGTAATAGTCAACTTAATTAATCAATTCACGTGTTGTGTATGTAAATATTATGATGCACTAGCGCGCCATCTGTTATTTAAACTGGCGAAACCGCTGGGAGGGTTCACCACTGATGAGTCAGTCCCTCCCATAATTTTTTTTTTTCATTGCAGTAAGGGCAGTAGAAATTGTTTAATTTCAAAAAGAATATTACGCGTCTAAAATAGTTTCTAATTTTCATATGTAAATATGTTTTTAACTTGGAGTAGAAACTTTTCCCGCTATGTTGACCCTGTTCCCTGGGAAAAACAACATGGCAATTATTCCATGAAATACTTTATTTAAGCTAAGACTTCATCAATCTCTTTATAAAGGTTTATTGTCCATTGATGTTTCGGCGAACCAATGTCGCCCTTTTCAAAATAGGTGGAAAGCTTTGTGTGAAGTATATTGTCTAGGACAATAAACATTTATAAAAAGTGAAAATAGCACAAAAGTGAAATTGTACTGGGATCAGGTGGGTGAATTAAGAAAAAAAAGACATTTCCTGATCATGTAAGTAAAAGTTGTCTATGACTTGCGTCATCTGTTGGAATAAAAAT